CTCGGCAGCCGCCTTGACGAGCTGTTTGGTGGACATGGTGCCCTGTTAAGTAGGTTACTACCTACTGTATGTTTGTTACGGACAGATGGCAACGAAAATGGAAGTGAAATGGCAAGTAGGAAATGACACGAATAAGAAGAAGAAGAAGAAGAGATGAAGAGTAAACAATTGAATGCTGCGATGTCGAGTGCGGGTGGTGGTGATGTTGGAGTGTTAAGCTTTGTGTTTGGCGACAGCGGGTGGGCTAACAAGTGAACATTGATATCAACTGAAGCAGGCACAATGTGCAGTGCAGTGGGACTCTGTGCATCATAGACGTGGGGCCGCTCACTGTCCAGTCCGTCAGTTGAGCCCCACAATTAACACTGCCCCTGTCTTCCACTGGTTGTGGATTGACCTCTTATCGCTTATCGGAGCTCCAGAGTCTCAAAAAATTTGGGAATTCCCGTCGCAAACTGGAAGGAAACTTCGAATTTGGAGAACTGAATTGGAGGGACGACGCTCGGTCCACTGTTGGCTTTCAGTGCTCTCTCAGTGTCTTGTCACTATCAATTTTCCTTGTCTCCATTCCCAGGACATCCTCCTCCACCGTCACCACCATCACCACCACCACCACCACCACCATTATATACCCATACTACCACATACACAATGGAACCAGGATCAGCCAAACGACGAAAGATTGGTCACTCGCGCGGCGGTGAAAGCGCAGTTGGCAACATCGACGCCGCTGCTTCCTCGGGGCTCTCTCGTGGCCGCGCATTTATCCTCGAAGCTGAGGAACTCGTCGACGAAGTGAAGCTCGACTATGCCACGGCCCTCGAAGGCGTCGACTCCCTCCTCCACAAGATCAAGGGCTCCATCGAAGCCATCGAAGCCCACGATGCCCTCCAGATCGCCGAGGCTGCCACCAAGCTCGAAAAGAAACACAAGATCCAGATCCCGTTCCCCGAACCGCGCCCGTCCGACAAGTCCAACTACAAGGTCGCCTTCGCAAAGCCTTCGCAGTTCAACGTTGTCGGCAGCTATGTGTCCAAGACCATGATCAAGGCCCAAAAGAGCCATGCTGTGGATATGGTGGTTGTGATCCCCGGCGAGACTCTGCAAGAGAAGGACTATCTCGACCTGCGATACTTCTACAAGAGAGCCTACTTCCTCGGTGTTGTGGCTGCTGCCCTACAAAAGGACTTGGCTGAGGATGGAGAGCTTTCATATGAATATTTGAACGGGAACACCCTGTCTCCCATTCTGTCGTTGAAACCAAAGGTGGAAGGAGAAAAGAAGGAGGGCCGACTGGACTACAGAGTGCGCATCATCCCTTGCGCCCCAGACAACTTCTTCCCCAAATCAAAGCTTGACTTGGGCGCTACCCTTGTGCGCAAAGCTGGCGGTGACGAGTCCAAGGCCGCGACCAAGCCTACGCCGTTCTACAACTCGACTGTGGTTTCCGAGTCCTGCTTCTTCCCCTACCTGAAGCTCTTGCGACAAACGGAAAAGAAATGCGCCGCGTTCAAGAAGGCTTGCATCCTGGGTCGGGTGTGGTTGCAACAACGAGGACTGGGAAGTGACATGGCGGATGGTGGTTTTGGTCACTTTGAATGGGCGGTACTTTTGGCGCTTCTGCTCCAAAGCGGCGACAGCACCAAAGGACATGCGCCCTTGTCTACGTCCTTGAGCGCCACCCAGCTGTTCAAGGCCATGGTCCAGTTCCTGTCTGTTACTAACCTGTCCGAGAAGTCGTGTGTGTTGGGTACTGCCGCCGTCGAGTCCGAAACCGCTGGTCCGGTTCTCTTCGACGCTGTTCGTGGTTTGAATATTGCCTTCAAGATGAGCAACTGGTCCGCGGCCAAGCTACACCAACATGCCAAGTGGACGAGGAGCCTTCTCAACGACAGCACTGCCGACCAGTTTACCCCTACTTTCATCCTCAAGGCCGACCTCCCCTGGCAAAACTACGACCTTATTGCCCACCTCAACTACGATGGAAAGCAGGACAAGACAGAGCCGATCGACTGCCGGGGACGGCTATGGGAATACAGCGACAAGGTGCACCGGGTACTCAAGCGGGCTCTTCAGGACGAAGAACTGGGTGAAAGGGCTCGGTCGATTCACATTCAACTACCCAAGAGCTCACCCTGGGATCTCACCAAGAAGCCTTCCACTAAGCAGAACCACACAATCGAAATTGGTGTCCTCTTCAATGCCGCCAACATGACCCGCTCTGTCGACCGTGGTCCGGCCGCTGGACCTAGCAACGAGGAGAAGGAGGAATGCGCCAGGTTCCAGCGGTTTTGGGGTGAGAAGTCGGAACTTCGTCGGTTCGAGGGTGACTCCATCAGAGAGACCTTGATCTGGTCGTCCACCTCCCCCTTTGACCTTTGCGAGGAAATTATGCGCTACATCCTCAAGCTCCATCTTCGGGTTGGCTACCTCGAGGACGAGCTCACCTTCCACGGCGACGGCTTCACCGAGCTGATCCCTATTAAGCCGACCGACACCTCCGTCTTCAACGCCGCTCGCAAGGCCTTTTCCTCCTTCGAGAAGGATATCCGCGACTTGGACGACATGCCGCTGCACGTCAGGCAAATCGCCCCCATCTGCCCCGAACTGCGACACGCCTCCATCAAGGTGCCCTTCTCGACCGTCACCAAATCCGGCCCACGCGCCCTGGAATGCGTCATCTCCTTCGAAGCCTCCGGCAAGTGGCCCGAGTCCATCGTCGCCATCCAACGCACCAAGATCGCCTTCCTGCGCATGATCGGCGACCTCTTGGAGCGTTCCAAACCCGGCGAAGTCCGCAGCTACGTTGGTCTTGAGTCCTCCACCACCACCAACACGGAACTCGAGAACCTCGCCTACCTCGACATCGTCTACGAGTCCGGCCCTACCTTCCGCCTGCGCATCCATTCCGACCTCGAAGAGGCCCTCCTCACGCGCCAATCGCACGACAAGACCATCGACCAACACCACCGCCATCAAGCCTCCGTGCTCCTCTCCAACTTCCGCAGACTCTACTACCACCTCCCTCTGCACACCCAATCCATCAACACCTTCGCCACCCGCTTCCCCGCCTTCTCGCCCACCATCCGCCTGCTCAAGCACTGGTTCTCCTCGCACAAACTCGCCTCCCACTTTACGCCCGACTTCATCGAGCTCGTCGCCCTCCAAACTTTCTTGAGCCCTTACCCCTGGGACGCACCCTCCTCCCCCTCCGTCGGTCTTCTCCGTGCCCTCCTTTTTTTGAGTAGATGGGACTGGCGCTCCGAGCCGCTCATCGTCGACACCAACAGCGACATGCCATCGTCCGAACGCTCCGCCATCGCCACCCGTCTCGAAGCCTGGCGCAAGATCGACCCGCTCATGAACCACACCGTCCTCTTCGTCGCCACAGCGCAGGAATCTTCTGGCGTCGCTTACACCACCGTCAACGGTATCGCGCAGCCCAGCAAAGTCGTCGCAGCACGCATGACCGCCCTCGCCAAGACCGCCTGTCGCGTCATCCGCGAAGAGGGCGTCGAGTTGGACGCTAGACGGCTGTTCGTCCCCAGCACGAAGGAATATGATGTCCTGATGCACCTCTCCCCCAAGGCCATCAAGGCTGTAAGCAAAGTTTATCCGAGCGAGGAGCTTACGTCAATTACTGCTGCCAAGTCCAGTAGCGGAAGCAAGTACAAGAACTTGTCTGCAACTGCGGGTGAAGATCCCTTGCCTTTGCCTTCTGCACCTGTTGATACCTTCTTTGAGAAACTGGAGCAGGTTTACGGATCTGGATCTTCTGCGCCGCTGGTCTTCTTTAGAGGAGGAGAGGAGGAGAAGGTCGTGGGCGCTATTTGGAATCCTACTTTAGGAAGGAGGGGGTTGAAGGTTAATTTGGGGACTTCCTATAAGCCGGTTAAGTCGGCGGGCAAGAGGAAGCTTGATGGTGATGAGAAAGATGGAGAGGAGAAGGCAGAAGAGCAGCTGGTGGAAGTGAATAGGGAGGCTATCCTGAGTGAGATTGCGAGGATAGGAGGGGAGTTGGTGGAGAGGATTGAGGTGCAGAGGGAATGAATAGATAAGAATGTGTTGAGATGTCTGTTGGTGTTGTAGAAATACCGGGATGGGAAAGGATAGAATACTGGATAGTTGCCATGGGGATGGATGTAGTGGGTAATTGTCGATTAGGGGAATTTTGGGGGTTGGGAAAAGCAGCACAATGGATTTTTTTTTGGATTATATCGATGATATCTCGGATGCTAAGTAGAGAGAGGTATTGTATGATGACTATGTGAAGAAGCCTCTTACTGTTGACTTTGTTGCTATGTCCTGTTTTTGATGACAATTTACCTAGTCTCTGACTCTCCGTAACTAGAGAGCATTCCTAGAGCCGACGTTTTGTTCTTTGTTTGTCTCTTTTAAAGAAGAAAAACAATTTTACGCCTTTTCATCGTCGTTCTTCCTTTTCGGTTCCTCTGCTTCTTTTTTCTTTTCTTTTTTTCCCCAAGGCACGAGTAAATAGAAACATTGATACTCGATGAGGCGTGCAGATTTCAAGACACTCAAACATGAAGAGATCACAAGATGTGGACACCAAGTATCAGGGCAGGCAGATATGAACCGATCTCAATCAATTCTCTTTCTTCCATGTTCTTTGCTTTCTAAAAGTAGGGTATGATAACACGCCACCAGCACCAGGCAGCCAGCAACAATGTATGTTTTGCAAAAGCAACAGACAACACAGATTGACACAGCAACACACAGAAAGCAATAAAATAGACATAACTCGTCAGCCTCCACCCACTCACTGCCCGCATCCAAACGAGGGAAGCTGAGCAGTCAGCACAAGACAATAACCGCCGGGACTCCATCTCATCTAGCTAATGACCCTCTCAATCACACCGCTCCCTTGGTTGGGATAGAGACAGACAGGATCCAGTGGGAGTGGAAGAGCCCAGCCGTTTCCCATCCGCTTGCTTGCATCAGCTGTACAGCTTGGCCTCGACCGCAGGATATTGAAGCTCTTGGTATCCCATCCATCGCTCTTCACCCCATGATCACAGACCAATGACCCTTTCTCGCAGAATCTTGCCTTTTATGGTGATTTCTCGCAGTCTCCATCTCCGAACCCGGCGGAGAGCTAATCGACATCTCCCCGTCCTTTTCCATGGTCTTACTCTATTGAGCCATGGCCATGCCCTGCTGCTTTGGGTGGTCATCAATCTCCATCTCATCGCCCATCTCAATGTCCTCATCCTGTCCTTGCTCGAGCTCACCCTCGGCGTCGCCCTCACCGTCCAGCTCGTCCTCGGATTCGTTCTCAAGATCGACACTGCCGTCTTCGGACATCTCGTCTTCCTCGATTACGATGGCGCCATTTGGCTGGCCCTCAACTTCCATGCCGCCGTTGACGGCGGGGTCGGCGATGCTCGATTGTTCAGCGAGTTCATCGGCGCCGTACTCTTCTTCGTCGGCGACCTCGTCGGCTTCGGGCTGTTCAGGAGGGAATTCAGGAGGAGCGGAGGCTTCAGAGTCCCTGTGGTTGATTGTGTTAGCATGGGTATGTGGTAAAGGGAGGAATAGTAGTAGGTAGGGAGATTGTGTTGCTGGGCAACTAAGACCGAAGGGAGGGGCAGTGGGGCGTGCCGCGTCCTTCCGCGCCGTCGCGCCATCGTAGGCAGAGGTAACGAGAAAAACTTTAGTATCGTATCAGGGCAACACATACCACTTGATAGCAAATCGCGTGACTCTTGGCTTCTCGGCCAGAACGTTGCGGCGGATCTTCTCAATAACGGGCTTTGGGGGCGGATCATTAATGAGCTCCTCGCTCTCGTACTCGTTGTTGACGTAGTAGCCAACGCGCACAAACTCGCGACCGTCGTAGGCGCACGTCAACAGTATCACCGTGACGCCTAGAAGCTCGTCGATGGGGATGCGCTTTGTGTCAGGAGGCTCGGCCTCGAAAATGAACTTGTTGACACCAACGGGAATGGGGCCGACGAGGAGAGAGTCGAGTTCCTGGTCGTAGTTATCCGAGGTGGCGGAGCCGACGTAGGTAAGCTTCCATTCGAGGTCTAAAACGCATACGCGACGGTTAGCGCCAAGATCACGACGCGAAGAAATGCGAATGAGGGGCAGGATGAGGGAGGAGGAGAAGCATACCCTTCTCGAGATGCTCAAGGCATTCAAAGGTGATTTCGAAGAGGTACTTGTCGGTGAACTTGGCGGGGTTGTTCATGACATTGACCCCGAGAAGCGAGACGACAGACATCTTGGCGGTGATGGTGTTGCCGCGTGGGCAAACTGACAAAGATGTGAAGATGTCGCAAGGAGTGGTGGTGGTGATGGTGGTGGTATCTAGTCGCGCAGGTATTTATACTTGGTAGAAGGAATGTATCAACTGATGATACAGCAGTACGAAAAGACGACTCCCTGGAGGAGGGAGATAAGAAGAAAAAGGGAAGAAGATGTTTTGGGGCAAGACTTGCTGGTTGCTGGCTTGTCTTGCGTGGATGTGGTGTTTGTTTTGGTGGAGGAGGAGATTGGAGAAGAAAGTGGAGCGTGGTCTGTCAAAGTCAAGTGTCCAGCCAGCTTGATTATGCAAGGAGGGGGACAAGAACTGAAATGCAACGAAATGGAAAGAGGGACAGGACGGCGCCTATCATGGACATTACATAGCACACGCGGGCAGAGCTGTTCCCATTACACTTGATCCTGTACGTATTGATACGTTTGGTGTGTTAAGTTACCAACCGAGAACTATAACAGAGCAGTGCAGTAGTGGTTCAGATGGCTTTGGAGTTTCGTCTCATGGTGTATCTTTCCGTCTTCAGTTCTGCTCCTTCAGTTCTGTTTTGTACTGGTGCCTGATAAGTACGGGCGGGACATGTGCAGTGGTGTGAGTCGCGTAAATTGAAAGAAGTGGACGAACAGGAACGCGTTCAAGTTCCCGCTTGTGGTCCTGCCGCCGGCAATTCAACACCTTGGTGTGGCAGGCATCGGGCCAGAATCTGAGCGAAGAAGCCAGCCACATTATCCCAAGCTGTCAGCCACTTTTTAGCCTCATGGTTTGCTGTTGGACGGGAGTGGATCCTCTGAAGCTTGAAAAAAGTTAAGAACCCATAATTTTGAAAGAATCCGACCACTCAGCGTCGTCCATTGAACTCAGTTGGATTGCGCTCTGGCGTCGCGACGGACGGACTTTTGCTTTCAGTGAGCGACTGCAGTGAGTGCAGTGAGTGCAGCAACAGAACTGTCAAAGCTCGGGCAAGGTGAGTCCCGTCGTTGGTTGCTGCAAGAGGTCAAATGTCCGCTTTCCAACTTTGGCCTTTCTTTTGCATCCAATCTTCCATTCGACGACGGAGAAACGAACAACAACACACTCAAAATACTACAAATCCACACCGACTCCAAGAACCCTACGACATTCGCCCATCCTCTCCGACGAATTCTGGAATACGATAGTATTTGCGCAATATCAACAAGTTTTTTTTCTTCTTCTTTTTTACACCCTTTGGGTGGATTCTTTGTTGGTGTCCAGTCAACTGGTTATCAGCTCTTTTTGACTTTGACCTCTCCTCCCCCATCCAGCCTCAAACTGCGCGACCGCGACCGTGACGGACCCCGACAGCTATACCTGAGCTACATATACAGCTAGCTACAGCCGCAGCACCTACCGTGGCAGCAATATGCAAGCATAGGTCACCCGTCTTCACGGCCCTGATTCCGACTGTTCTCTTTGCCGCCCTGCGATATCGACGCGCCTCGACCACACCCCGTCCACTTCCACGAGAAATACTGCTCTTCCAAAGCTAGATCAAACCGCTTCATCTTTCGTTTCCAACTTGAACTCATAAAAAATCATGTCCGACGACTACGACCCCACAAACATTAACGCTGCCTCGTGGGAGGAGCAAGAGGACTATGGCGAGGCTGATGGCAGCGAACAATACGGGGAGGCTGAGGGCAGCGAGCAACAAGATATTCAGCATAGCTCGGAACATCAAGAAGCAGAATACTCCGTTGAATCAAACCCTAATGACCTAGGTGATCACCCATCGCAAGATGGAAACACCGATGATGTGGGTGACGACTACGATCCTGCCTCTGTCGTCACGTCTTCTGTTCCCGCTCCTTCTGCCCCTGCTCCTCAAGAAGATTCCAAGACCGCTCCCCAGCCTGCCGCCCCTGTGGCCAAGAAACCTCGGACCGCTGGAGGCTTCTTAGTGGGAGACTCTGACGACGAGGATGAAGATGGTGATGATGATGGTGAACCACAACAGCAGCAGCAACAGCAACAACAACCACACCAAGTTGCGCATAAAGAGACGGGCTCTGGTGCTTCATCAAGTGGTGGTTCTGCTCCAGCTCCGGCTCCCGCCTCTGCTACTGCTGCCCCTCAGTCGCATTCTCCTGCTCTCCAGACTGCCACATTGACCGTCCAAGACAATGCTGGTGCTACTACTTTTAATGCACCGCCAGTGCCCCAACAGGTGTCTCACCAATCCGGCGCAACTACCGCAGCTGTTCCGACCACACCGAGTTCCGCTGCCCCTGCCGTCGACCCTACCCCCGTGACCCAGCCGGCTCCTGATAGAGTAGCCATTTACGAAGACCAGATCCGCGATGATCCCCGAGGCGCAATGAATGCTTGGTTGGAGTTGATGAAGGAAAAGAGAGCCAGGAATGACATTGATGGTGCAAGACAGGTCTATGAAAGATTCCTTGCCATCTTTCCCCAAGCCGTGAGTCAGCATATCTATGGCACACAAAACAGTAAAAGCTAACGACAGTCAGGCCGATATTTGGGTCGAGTATCTTGATCTCGAGCTCAGCCTCAATAACTTTCCCCAAGCCGAGGGCATCTTCGCCAAATGTCTTATGACCACTCCCAACGTCAATCTCTGGACCCGGTATCTGGACTACATTCGCCGTCGTAATGACCTGAACGATAGCACCGGCCAGGCTCGCCAAACCGTTTCCCAAGCCTACGAGTTCGTGATTGACAACATTGGTCTGGACAAGGATTCTGGCAAGATCTGGGCAGAATACATTCAGTTTATCAAGTTTGGCCCCGGCACGGTCGGAGGAAGTCAATGGCAGGATCAGCAAAAGATGGACCAGCTCAGGAAAGCCTACCAGCGGGCCATCTGCGTGCCTATCTCCAATGTCAACACTCTCTGGAAGGAGTACGACCAGTTCGAGATGGGCCTCAACAAGTTGACGGGCAGGAAATATCTCAGCGAAAAGTCACCATCCTACATGTCAGCCAAGAGCGCCAACACTGCGCTGGAGCACATCACCAGGGGCTTGAACCGGACCAACCTCCCTCGTCTTCCGCCTGCCCCTGGTTTCGATGGTGATCAGGAGTTCATGGAGCAAGTCGAGATTTGGAAAAAGTGGATTGCTTGGGAAAAGTCCGATCCCTTGGATCTCAAGGATGACAAGGACCAGCCGGGTCTGTACCAAAAGCGCATCCTTTACGTCTATAACCAGGCCTTGATGGCCCTGCGTTTCTGGCCCGAGATGTGGGTTGACGCCGCTCAGTGGTGTTTCGACAACAACATTACCACCGTGGAGAACAAGGTCACCAAGGACGGCAACGCTAACGGGGTCGAGTTTCTTATCCGGGGCATCGAAGCCAACCCCGAAAGTGTGCTTCTCGCCTTCAAGCACGCGGATCACATCGAGTCGACCTACCCCATTGAGGAGAACGACGAGGCCAAGATTCAGCGTGGCGAGGCAGTCAAGGCACCCTACAACAAGGTGTTGGATACACTTTACGCCATGATCAAGAGCCTGAAGGAAAAGGAGGCCGCACAGATCGCCAAGCTTCAGGAGATGACTGCTGCGCAAGAATCCAAGGCAGGCTCGGACAACGAGGATGGCGATGGAGCGGCAGATAACATCAAGAAGGCGCCTATTGAGGCTATCCAGAAGGGTTATGCCGCGCAGACCCAGCTGCTTTCCCGGATGATTTCGTTCGTGTGGATCGCCTTGATCCGCGCCATGCGTCGTGTTCAGGGCAAGGGAGGCTTGAATGTTCCGCTTGGTGGCATGCGCAAGGCATTCCACGATGCTCGCGCTCGCGGCCGTCTTACCAGTGATGTCTATGCGGCTGTTGCTCAGCTAGAATGGACTATTTACAAGGATCCCGCCGGTGGTAAGATCTTTGACCGCGGTGCCAAACTCTTCCCAGAGGACGAGAACTTTACTCTCGAGAACATCAAGTACCTTCACTCGCGGGATGACCACACCAACGCCCGCGTCCTCTTCGAAACCGTCGTCAACAGACTTACCCAAAAACCCGAACTCGTCCACAAGGCCAAGCCCCTTTACCAGTACTTCCACAAATACGAGTCCCAATTTGGCGAGCTCGCCCAAGTCACCAAGCTGGAGAAGCGCATGGCCGAGCTCTTCCCTGAAGACCCTAAACTTGCTGCCTTCACGGCCCGTTATGCCTCGGACAAATTCGACCCTATCACCGCTCGCATAATTGTCAGCCCGACAACCCAGCTTCGGCCCAAGAACATGATTATGCCCTCGATCGAACAACAGCAACCCCAACTTCCCATGTCTCGGCGCGACACCCCCGCCGCGGGCTTCAGCCCCCGTCCCCAGGGCCTCAAGTCTCCCAGCGCCGGTCCCGGTGCTCCCTTCGCCCCCTACGCCGCCAAGCGGCCCCTCGATGACCGCGACTACGATGACCACCCCCGCAAGATTGCGCGCTCCGAACATGACCCCTTCGTTAGAGGCGCCTCTCCCCTCAAAGGCGCAGCCGGCCGCAGACTGGACCAACAACGGCGCATGGGCGGAACAGCCGGCGCGTATAGCGGCTCCGGGGCCGGTTCCCAGGTTGCTCCCATTGCCAGGGACATCACCTTCCTACTTAGCCAGATCCCCCGCGTGGAATTCTATGATAGCCACAGACTGAACCCGTCGCGGATGGTTTCGTTGTTACAGAACGTCAAGGTGCCGGAGTATCTGGACTGGAAGAGGGAGCGGGAAAGGATGCAGCAGATGCAAGGAGATGGATATGGCGGTTACGGTGGTGGTGGTGGTGGTGGTGGTGGTGGTGGCTACCAGGGTGGTGGTCATGCTAGGAACATATCCCAGGATTACGCCTACCGCGAATCACCTGGTCCGCTTGGAGGAAGACCGTTGAGCCCGTTCACGGGTGGTCCGGGAAGTAGACTGGCTAGCGCGACGGCTGCGTATCGCCAGGCTCCTGTGGGCAGGCCGGAGTCCAGCGGGTCTTATGAACCGCCTCCGGCTGCGCAGTACGGTGTTCCGCCCCCAGCTCAGTATGATGGCGGATGGGCCCAGCAGCAGCAGCAGCAGCAGTATGGACAGCCACCGGCGCCGCAGGGATATAGGTATGGAAACCCCCCTCCTCCTTATTAAAACAAGAAAAATGAGGGAGATGGAGACGGAGTACGCGGTTGGAGGAAAGGGACAGGAAAGCGAAAGAAGAGCGTACAGGAATAGGAATTGGGTTCGGCAACTGAAGGAGCAGGAGAAACGTGGAAGAAGTGCATGTGGTGGAGGACAGCGGAAAGAGGGTTAAGTTTAGGTACTTGAACTTTGAGCTTTACTAAGAGGAATTGGAAAGAGAAGAAACCAAATCTTCTTCCTACTCTCTGTGACCGTCCTTGTATTAGTTTTTTGACTTTCTACCTGCCGCTGCACTCCTCGCGAGCAAGGTTTAGCATGAACTAATGATAGGTAAATTATCAAATTTCCAGTTGCTGTCATTGCTAAATATTACTTCTGTTAGCTCGAGCCTACCTCTAGGTGTTGCGTCGTCTAGATACCTCTAGTTGTTCCGGTATCATTCTCCTTTCTTCCTCCCACCTCTGATTTCCCTCGCTGTGCTGTGCTATGCTCTGCTGTGATCTACTCTTGTGCTATTCAGACCTAGATCCAGATCCACGATCATCCTTCGCTACCTTTATGTGTGTGACCCCAAAAAAAAAAAAAAAAAAAAAAAAAAAAAAAAGGGAGTATAATCATGTCTTCACCCAAGATCCTCGGACATATTCCATTGCATCTCAAACTTGCCCCTGGGTAATCTGGGGTAGTCAATCCACATCGCCGCGTACCCAACACAACAACTGAAATCTTGACCTTTCTCTCAACAATTAGGTCCTCAGCTCACCTGGCACTCGGCACTGCGTTGTCTTTGACGTCTCCTGTTCTCTCCTTTCCCTCTCCTGTCCTCTTCTGACCATGCCCTGCCCGCAGCCTGTCTCCAGTGGAAACCACCGTTTGCACTTGGTCAGGTTGCTAGAGGAACCTCAACAACCAGGAAACTGAGACGAACTGGGACCTCGACTCTCGAGATGGGATAATAAGACGATATTGCTAGAGGGAAGTACCAAGATACCTGAGAGATAGTGCAAACATCGATAAAATGGCAAAAGGAAGGCTGTTGAGGTTCGAGGCGGGACAGATGAGAGCGGTGGGGTGTCTGATCAAACTGATTATGTTGACAGATGACAGTTGCGTTCGGTTGCGTGGGGAGAAGGGACGAGAGTGCCCAAACAGCCAAACTTGTTGAGTCTTCTTCTGTACCTAGGTAGTGTAGAGGTTCTCTACGTCATGCAGTTGATGTATGGGATGGCCGTGACAAGACAGAAGCGTTTGGTGCAGTAGAACAACAGGAGATTCAATACTACTTCAAGGGACATGGAGATAAGCCAGAGCCGAGGTTGGGCAGGAGCGAAGAGGCAACAAACGGCGGAGGGTAAGTGATAGATGGCAAGAATTTTACAGCGTTCAGGTGAGCAGGATGGAGTAAACGAGGACTGAATGAAGGCAACATCGAAGTTGGCCGCGCCAACAAAGCGCACGAGCAGAGACAACAGGTCAAGCAGTAGGTATCTAGTAATATTAAATGGTTATTGTGTCAATGTTCATTCCCATCTAGGTAGAACATTCACTCTCCAAAACACCGGGGAGAAGTCTCCAGTCAAGCCGAGTGTCCCCATCCTGCGCGCCTTCTCGGTTCTCACAGGCGAGCTGGTTCTCAAGTGGAAGCAAGCATGCGCCCAATGTCGATGTTGTCCCGCTTCAACTCGGTCATCTACCTTACTTGGGAGGAAATGACCGTCCTCCTGTTTTCTCTACATTCACTCGCTCCTGTCGGCATCGATAGTCCGGACTCCAGACTCCAGACTCGACTGGGCCACCGCGATCACAGACGGGTGGAAGGTTTAAGCGAAAACAACAACCGGACTTGATTGCCAAGGCAAGGGAGGTCATCCGAAAAGATGAAGCGACGTTCACCGGGACAATTGGACCCGGTTTGGACGACATTGAAGCAGCTTTTGGATATCGAGGAGGAGTGGAGGTTTACAAGATGCTTGCTTCCCGCCAACGGGAAGTAACGGTTGCCTTTTGTTGGCAGCTTCTTAGTAACAGTTTTGTATTGGTTCTGGATGCTTTCGGAAGTTGCGGTGGAGATGTGGTCTAGGGGTGTTGTTACCGTTATCGTCGGAGATCAAAGTAGTGCAAATGAGAATGTTTACGATGTCGCCATCTTCAATTTTCGTTACTGCCACGTCTCAAACAACATGGAAAAATTGACAGCTTGATGACTGTATGGATATCGAAGCCCAGGAATGGTTCCTTGATGGACCAGTTGTGATTGTTGGATGTTTGGCTTGAGTGGTTGCTATGTTCACGGCGGGGAATAGACTCCCAGATTGTCTGAGTGGTCACTCCTCCGCCATGACTCTTTCCGTGAACATCTTTGCAAATGATGGCGTTTTCGGTGAGAGATTTGAAGTAGCGGGTGAAGCTCGTCATACGAATAGTCACTGTAGTGTAGAAGCGTCATCGAAATATTATGACGTTCTCCTGATTGCGAATGCCGACAGTCGAAGGCACCATCACCTACCACGAGACGGAGCATTTCACCTGGAAGCGCCTTTCCAATCTACGTGATATGTGACCTCCATTTCTCTGGACGTTGACCCGACAATGTTTTGCACAAAAACTACCTGCCTTAGGTAGTAGGCTACCTTGATGGCCCGTCACTGTGACTGTGAACCGCGACTTCCCAACCGGATTGCCTCCACTTGATGACACTCCCACTGGAAACCCAAACCGTCTTGGCACTTGCCTACCACGACATGATTTCGTGACAACTGTCATTACCAAGTGAAGGTATTTACCTTACGCAAACAGGAAACTTTGTAGTAGCAACCATTTCACTTGCTCTCGTCATTGAAGTATTGTCGCTTGTCTGACAGCAAAGTAGGATTGGAGTCAAGACCACGGTGATAACTGGCCGGGGCAAGTCACAGGTGTTTGATGATCCCAGTGACTGCCCGGACACTCCATCACAACTTTGTCGCTGGTTGTCGTCACAAGAAATCATAGTCAGCGACATTTTTGCAATCACGTAGAGTAACTCTCTTCCAGTTTCCAGGTTCCAAACTTGAGTAATCCCCATCTTGTTGCTGTCACATCTCTGTGACCATGGAATCGCCATCCGCTGAGTGTTTGACTTGAACTCAACCACGACGTAGTAAACAGTTCATATCGCTGTGAATGTGATTCAGTCTGATGGTATATCAGAGACTGAGCGTTGGACTCACCACTCTCGGAGTCCAATCTTTCATGGTGACGAAACTTTCATGTAAACGGTCACCACAGGAAAGGACCGCAACTGGCAAGAGCTGCCGCCGAGTGTCGGACCATACTTGCGCTCCGTGCCGTCCAGTTGACTGTTTCTCGCAAACAGTACTTACCTAGACAGCACTCGTCTGTTGCTGTCCCTCTCATCTCCTTCTCACTTTTCCCTCCCACTCTTTCCACTCCTTCTCTCTCCCACCACACTTTTCTTCCTGGCGAGTCATCCCAACCTTCTACGCGAGGCAAACACTCGCCTTGCTCGCCGTTTCTCCTTCTCATCGCAACCTTCAAACCTTTCATATTACAGTCTCCAGACGAGTCAGAGGCAGTACTCATCCAGACTTACTCTTCTCGTCTGGTCTGGTTGATTGCTCCCCTTCACGCACTTGCATCCAGGTACGTACCCCCCTCTCGCCCCGTGGATTATCCTCCAGAAATCTATAAGAACCCCCCTCCCCCCTCCTCCTAATCCTCTTCCAAACTTCCTCCTCATCACACTCAACCAACAATCATTCGCTTACGCCTTTCTCGATCTCTTTCTCTAGACAGCAACTGCATCAAGCCCAGCAACCGACCAAGACTTTCGTTTTTCGACAGCGACTTGACCTAGACTCCAGTCTACAGTCTTGTGAGTTTTGACACCTCCTCTCCCCTCACTACCCGCGCAACAGACACAACTACCCATCTCACTTCCTCATCATCGTACTGGCACTCACCCACAAAACTGAGCCACCACTGACTCTTGTCTCAACCAGTACCTGCAAAATGTCTGCTCCTGGCTCTCCCGCTGGCTCGAGCCCCAAGATGTCCGGTCGTCAGATGACCTTGCCGGCGCGTCCTGCCGGCCCGCCTCAGCCTTCGACTCACGCTCGTACTCCCTCGGGTGTTTCTGCTGCCTCGGGTGCTGCTCCCGGTCAGGCTCGCTCCAACTTTCCGCCCCCTCTTGGTTACGACCCCGGCAAGATAGACACTCGTCCCCCCTTGAGCCACGAGGAGCGTGTCGGCAAGCGCGTCGACTTGCCTGCTGACGCCTACCTCAAGGCCGACATCAGCAGCACATTTGCCACTCGCAGCGGCTTCAACTCCGAGGGCACCCCTACCAGGCTCTCCGTCAACCAGTATCCTGTCACCAGGATCGCCAACATGGATGTTTTCCAGTACGACGTTGCTCTCAGCCCTGAACCCACCGGCGGCGTCGTTTACGACAAGGTCTGGAAGTCCAAGGCTGTCCAGCAGAAGCTTGCTTCGGTCACCAAGAAGCCCTGGATCTACGACGGGCGCAAGCTGGCCTGGTTGGCCCAGTCGGTTGACGAAATGCGTCTCCTGGTTGACCTGGATGAGGAGCGCGGTCGCAAGCCTGGCGGCGAGAGGAAGAATGCCTTCCACATCACCATCAGGCCCACTGGTAAAGTCCGTCTCCAGTCTCTGAGGGCTTATCTCATGAAGACCGCTCCTTGGGACAACCATGTGCTCGAGTGCATGAGTTTCCTCGATCACCTGCTCCGCCAGGGACCGTCTGAGCGCATGAAAACCATCAAGCGCAGCTTCTTCCACCCCTCCATGCCCGGCCGAGAGCTCGATATGCTCCTCATGGCGTACAAAGGCGTGTACGCTTCGTTTCGCTTGAGCGAGAACGTCAAGCAGATTGGTCTGGGTGTCAATGTTGATGTGAGCAACCAGACCTTCTGGAAGGCCAACCCAGCCGACAAGATGATCAAGTACGTGATCAACACTTACGGCGGTCTGAGAAGAGACCAGCTCCAGAACCTGGATGACCAAATGATCACCAGTGTGTTGAAGCCCCTGGTCACCCAGGGAAGGTACGAGCAGTCTGAGGCCATGAGGGCTCTGCGCCGCCTGAAGGGCTGTCGCTTCACGCTCTCCCATCGCCCCAATGAGACCAAGGAGTACAAGATCAAGGGCTTCGCCTTCGACAAGAAGTACGGCCCGAACGGCGCCAACTCCTACAACGTCAAGTTCAACTGGAGACAGCAGGATGGCACTGAGAAGGAGATCTCCATCAGGGACTACATGAAGGAGAGATACGGCTATGTGGTCCGTCAAGCCGGCTGGCCCGTCATTGAGACGACACGTGCTGGATCTTTTCCTGCCGAGGTATGCAACATCGTTGCCTTCAACCAGTACCAGTACAAGCTGGACCCTCAACAGACTGCCTCCATGATCAAGTTTGCGGTTCAGCGCCCGGACCAGCGCAAGAAGGACATCAGTGCGTCGGTTCAGCGTCTCGACTGGGCCAACGACAAGTACCTCAAGGCCTTTGGTGTCAGCATCTCGCCCGAAATGGCCAAAACTGAGGCCAAGGTGCTCAGGCACCCTGAGGTGTTCTTTGAAAAGAAGACTGCTAGACCCCTGAACACCGGTCGCTGGGACCTTCGCGGCGCCCGGTTCATCGAAGGCAACAAGGAGCCCCTGACCCATTGGGGCTTCATTGGACTCAACATGTGTGTCGACGGGAGGGCGGTGAGCAACTTTGTCCAACAATTCACGAACATCTACAAGGGACATGGCGGCAGAATTGCGAAGAACCCCTACACGACCAACATCAATGCAAACCCAGCTACCCTAGCCGACGAGCTTCACAAGCACGTCCCCCAGATTGTCGCAGGTAGAAAAGACCTGTGCCCGCAGATCGTGTTCATTGCCGTCCCGGACAAGTCTGCTCATTTGTATGAGCGCCTCAAGAAGATTTTCGAGTGCCGCTACGGCATTGTCACTCAAGTCCTGAATTGTGACCACGTCAAGAAGGCACAGGGGCAGTACATTTCCAATGTCTGCATGAAGGTCAACGCAAAGCTGGGCGGACAGACGTCCAGCCTCACTGCCACCAAGGCCAAGTCTCACAATTTCTTCATCAGGCCCACCATGATGATTGGCGTTGATGTGACTCACGCATCGCCGGGCTCAGACATGCCGTCTATTGCTGCCATGTGCGCCTCAGTCGACGTGGAGGGTTATCAGTACCGCGCTGCCGTCCAGACCAACGGCTGGCACAACGAGATCCTGACCGACGAGAACATCAACACCTGGATTCCCACTTTCCTCAAGGCCTACAAGGAGAAGACGGGCAGAGAGGTTGAGGATATCTACTACTTCCGTGACGGTGTCTCCGAGGGCCAGTTTGCCCACGTCATGGAGCAGGAGGTGAAAGCCATCAAGAAGGCCTTCAGGGAGAGGAGCAAGAAGGAGGCCAAGATGACGGTGATTGTGGCCACCAAGCGCCATCACATTCGCTTCTTCCCCGACAAGGGAGACAAGAACGGCAACCCCGAGCCTGGCACGCTGGTGGAGAGGGAGGTCACGCATCCCTTCCACTATGACTTCTTCCTGAACTCGCATTTTGCGCTCCAGGGCACGGCGCGTCCTGTTCATTACCACGTCCTTATGGACGAGATCAAGCCCCAGGTGAACAACTTGCAGAGGATGATTTACCAACAGTGCTACACCTTCTGCCGTGCCACCACGCCCATCTCGTTGCATCCGGCTGTCTACTATGCCCATCTGGCGGGTGCGCGTGCCCGCTGCCACGAGAACCGGGACTATGGTAACAATGCACGGGTTCCTGAGAAGGTCAGGGACCAGGTGAACAACCCGAACAACTTGGTTGCCAAGCACCAAGATCCCACTACTTACAGCAGCGACTGGAAGAAGAATAACCCGCCTCCCAGGCTGATTCCCATGCAAGCCCGCATCCACAACACCATGTGGTGGGTCTAATCTTGGTCGCTTTGGCTGGCCTTTCTTGACGGCACTTGAGTCGGTCATTTCAGGACATTGTTGCCTAGGCGGAACATGTCGACGGTGGAGAGGGGTGTGATTGGTAAGCGGCATGCAAAGGGTTTGGGACTTGTGGAGGTTTTCGTGACCCAATGGGGTCAGATATATTTGGACGACATGAGCGATGGTGGTGGTATAGGATGATCAATGGATCATATAGCGAGATGCTGGTGGCCGTGGAGGGAGTCAATACTTGGGAGGATCTTGGGACCGATGTATGGAAAGGATTCATGGATGGCATTTGCACAAACAGTTTCCGATCCGAGTCTGGGTTTCTTTTCCAGTATTACCAGTTCTACATAAGTCCATAGCATAAGAAAGGTGCCGTTTACTTGAAGCTTGTTTCTCGAATGTGCATAAGTGAATGACTGTGATTCTGTGCAGTGACGTTGGTGCTGTGAATGGGTGAAGCAACCGGGAATGCCAATGTTTGGGAGTCTCTGGGATATGGTTCATGTGGTGATTGATGGCACACGAGTTGGTTTGTATTACCAGCCCGGTAGAAACAACGCGTTGGATTGCATGACATAGCGGTTGAGTGATGATTGATGGGCTTGATGGTGGTTTGGATGAAGGTATAACTTGGTGGTGGTGGTATTGCCCATTGCGTTGAGCGAGTGTGTCATTAACCTTTTTGGTGATCGGATATAAGGCCAAAGCTTGCCTTTTTCTTTTTTTCTTCTTTTGGCTAGTATTCCTTGGTGTATCAACTACAAGATCTTTTTTTCTATCAATGTAAGTTCTTTGGGGTGCAGGAACTTCAATAGGTACTTTTTGGATGCTAATACAAAAGACCTTGACTCGGACGTTGGGAAATTTAAATACGAAGCTTGGACTTGAGGGCGACGCTGGAAGACGAAGTTAAGAGCCGAAAGGTAAGATGGAGTACCCGAGCAGACTTGGATACCCAGCTTCACATTGTTGGACTTCTTTTTTTGTTGGGGAGAAGGCCACCAGTCTCTCTTGAGTAACTGGTGTGTACCAAGATTTGGGTGGGGGGCTGATTGGGGGAGTGATGATTGTAGGTATTTGCCCTGGATTGCTGACTGGAAAAAGATTCATGAAGGCAGAAACGCTAGAAGGCTAAAAGAGGAAGAATATCCAGGTTGGAAGAGCAGAGGAGTTGAGGAAGGAAAAGAACAGAACGCCGGAAAACTAGGAACGCGAAGAAACTCTCGAGGAGCCAGGAGCCAGGAAAGCTAGAAAAGTTAGGAGAGCCACGAAGCCGGGAAAGTCAGGAGCCAGAACAGTGGGCAAAGAGGAAGACGATCAACAAAACCCATGTATCGACACCGAAAAAAACAACTACCTCCACCACCTCCGCCTGCCCATGGAGATGGACGAACCCGTCAAGGCTTACAGAATCCCCTAAGCGAGGGTACTTATTCCCATCCTCGAGCTGCACCGTTACCACCATTACCACCACCACCAGTACAAGCACAAGCACAAGTATCCGATCCAGTCATCACACCAAGTTCAAGTTTTCCACTTGGTGGCGGTGCTCTCCCAGGACTCCCACTTGGCACCGACTATAGAGGTACCTCTACCTCTACCCAACCACAACCGCAATCAGAACCGCGACGACGTCCGTTGCGTCCAGCACCATGGAGGACGCCTACTTCCCCTCAACGACCTCCGCCTGGGCGGTGGTTGGATCGGGCACTTGTAGTATCTTCCACCCCTCAATGGCCTGAGCAGAGAAGGTTCAGGGCTGGGTCTCTTCCTACTATCCACTACGAGCAACGAACATCGCGGGGATCACGGCCAGAGACAGCTCATACTAGAGACGGAGGAGTGCAGATTTCGTCGAGGGAGGGTGCGAGAGTGGTGGTGTCGCCTGTGCTGATAGTTCCTTCAGGATTAGGGGGGATGTCGTCTGCGATGAATGGGGTGGATGGGGTCCAGGGTCGGCATCGACGAGGGCCTTCTGCTTTTGGGATTCCCAACATGAAGCGAAAGATACTAGGCAAATTGCCAACAAGAAAGTTGGTTGCGGACAATGACCACGGTACAGCGGTAGAAAAGGGGAGTATGGTGTCTACAGCTACCTCTAGGAGGGTGGATGATGTCGAGGGACGAGTTTTAGGGCTGAGGGTAGGAAAGGGAAGAAAGAATTCAGGAGGAGTGGGAAGGAGACAAAGCGCGGATTCTGTATACTCTCAAGACATGGAAGGCTCAAAGGAAAGGGAGCCGATCTTCGCGGAGACGTATCATGGGTTTCTGTTTGGGGAGCATGGGGATGGAGAAAAGAGGAGTCCAGGGTGTGTGGATGGCTCGGGGAACAACCGAGAAGACCGGAGATGGAAATGGGTACCACCACGGCTTTTGTCACCTACTACTCCCGGTGCGCCACTTGGAAGCCACTACCGACGCCATAATTCAATTGGGCCTGCCATTGAACCTAAAGATAAATTGGAAGAATGGCATGGAAGTGAACGAGAACGAACTAGTCCGATGCTTATTCGCACCGGGACTACCACTCGCATCTTAAGAAAACCGGGGAGACTGAACCTGAGACCGATAAGTACACAGCAGGTATTGAGAACTCCTTCTCCACTGTCAGCAACGTTGAAAAGACCAGGACCGCATGTGCCGCATGGAGGCCGTTTGGGGTTGACTCCCGCGCCTACTTCCACGAACGATGTTCCTGCTGGTGGTGCAGGGCATGTGGCTCCGATGTTTACTCGGGAGTTGACTGCTAGTCCGGAGGTGATGAGCTCGGTTGCGGCAGAGGAGGATGATAGGAGGGGGATGGTGAGTCGATGGTCGACGGACTCGTCGGACATGGACTCGTCGGATGAGGAGGTGATGAATAGGGAGGGGTTGTCTGTTTCTGGGGGTCGTAGACTTACTCGGGAGGCAGGGCAAGAGGTAGCGCAAGAAATACCATCCGCACAAGACAACAGCAGCAGCAGCAGCAGCAACAACAACAACAGGAGGAAACACTCACCTGCCTCCCAAGAGACACGAAACGAGGGAATCGAGCAACAAAAGAGCGAAGAACCGGGTATCCCATTGGAAAACCTCACCACCCAGCTTGCGATTCTTCAAGCGTCCCTTAACCGCCTCGTGTCTCAGGTCACAGGTGTCGAGACAGCATTCGGGCAAGTGCATGAGATAATGATTGCCTTAGGTAAGCAGGCAACGGAGACGCTTGTTGATATTCGGCAGTTTTCTGAGGAGGTTAAGGGACCGCCGAGCGGACCGGCGCCGGGAGGGGCGGAGTGGGTTTGATGCCGGTTGGGACACCGAGTGTTGATTTCGGGTAATGCTAGAGATGGGAGAGGTGTTGATGACGAGAAGTGACGAGGAGGAAAAGGGGGAATAAACAAAATCAGGCGTAGAATTGACCACTTTGACATGAATGTCGCTTGACAGATGAGGTCCAACTAGTCGTGAACATCACCATCGATGTGGTCCAGGTGAAAGTGTCTCATCTTGTTGACGAGATGCTGTATCATTGACAAAGCATCAACCTCAGCCGACTCGAGGCTGTGATGTTGACGGAGAGGTAGAGAGTGAGTGGTCAGTGGATGACGACGACATGTGAAGTGGACGTCCAAACAGACTTCCGTGCCGTTACGGGCCGCGCGTAGCCGTGTGGGGCTGGGCGCTGTCTCGGCAGTTTCTAGGCGTTTGCTGGATGAGCTTGGCAAATTTACAGGGGACTTTTTTTTTTTTTTTAGCGGATACAGAAAGGTGAGAGCAAGGAAGCCCCGCTTGTCCCGCGGTCACTGCCGAACGTCACCGTGCGTCGGGTCGTTCGTCTCGTTCTCTTCAACCCAACATCATCAGCCGTCATCATCTTCCATCTCAGCTTCAGTGACCCAAGGCCAGAGAACGGGAGATGCTCCCTCTGACTTGACACCACCACCACCACCACCACCACAATTACAGCTGCCATACTAACAGTCAGACAGTATGGCCTCCTTCATCCGCGCAAAACAGGCGGGCGTCCAGACGGACCTGTCGCAGAACATCCAGCCCATGCACTTTATGCCCGACGAACAAGCCCGCTACGGCATCAACTCCCAGATCAGCTGTCTCGCCTACGACCCCGTCCAGTCTCTACTGGCAGTCGGCACCAACGAGTCCAAGTTCGGCCCGGGAAAAATCTACGTCTTTGGCCAACGCCGCGTCCACAAGTTCTTCTGCCCGCCACGCCCATCATCCATCCGAGAGCTTCGCTTTGTCGCCAACCGCCTCATCAGCCTCGACAGCAAGAACGAGCTGGCGATATGGGACCTCGACACGGGCAACCAGGTTGCCAAATACGTGTACTCGGGCGTCGTGTGCCTGGTGACAGACCCCATGCTGGACTGGGCCTTTGTCGGCTTACAGAGTGGTGACATCGCAGCCTACGACCTCGACCGCGAACGCCCCTCGACCTTTCGCATCCCCAACTTTTGGCGCGAGCGAGACCCCAACCCGACCGCAGGCAGACTTGTGTCGATGCAACTACACCCCAGGGATATCGGCAAGATCTTGATTGCCTACACAAACGGAGCCGTCATCTACTCGTTCAAGCAAAACATTGTCCAGAAATACTTTGAATACGAGCTGCCGCCTGATGCTCCCGGCGGAGACGGCCACGGAATCCACATGGCCCGGAAACCAAACATCACCCATGCCGTTTGGCACCCCACGGGCACCTTCATTCTGACTGCGCACCAAGACGGCAGCCTCGCCATCTGGGACACCAAAGAAGGCCGTCTCGTCACGGCCAGGTCACTATACCGCACCCGAGTCAACGAGCCCACCTCCAACCCACCCAGACCCATGCGCCTCGCTCCCTTTGTCCGTATCTCGTGGTGCTGCCAAACCGATCCCGACAACACCGGTCTTCTGATTGCTGGCGGCCACAACATCGACGATCCCACCGCAAGCAACCTCACTTTCCTCGAACTCGGTCCCACCCCGATCTATGCCACCTCCTCGTGGGAAGTTCTTGCTGCCCACTTCGATGGCAAGCGCTCTCTCCCCATCTCCACTCCCCCGGGAGCAAGCGTGGTCAACTACCTTCTCATCCCGCGCTCATCTCCCTACTTTAACGGCGCTCAGGACCCCATCGCTGTTTTGGTCCAGCTTTCCTCGGGGGAACTCATCACCTTGACCTTCCCCTCTGGTTTCCCCATCTCTCCAACCAATATGCTGCACCCCAGTCTCTCGTTTGTCCATCCGTTTGTTCAAACAGTAGCTGTATCGACAGTGCCAAGAGCACGCTGGCTGGGCATGGCGGAGAAGAGGAGCTTGGGAGAGCAGATACTCAGAGGAGGAGTGGAGTACAGTCACAGAACGAGAAAGGAGCAGAGGAATATCGTCCAAGTTCTCCACGCCGATAACATCATCCGCTTGTGGGACGTTGGCCGCGGAGACGAGATTGAGAATGCCATGCAGTGTCAAGTGGACGTTGCCAGGTCGCTCAACCGATTCGAGGGCGGTGTGGAAACGACGGCTATGCACATGGCGCAAGAGACGGGAGAGTTCGCGGCTGGCACAAAGACGGGAGAGGTGATTGTTTGGCGGTGGGGATTCAACAAGAACTTTGGCAAGGAGGAGCCCAGAGCCGAGGAATGTGAAAGGGGAGGCTTGATGGATATTTCCTCCAGGGCGGAACCGAGTTTGAAGGAAGGACTGCAGCCGTTTGTCATGCATAACATGGCTCAGGGGAGGGTGACGGTGGTGGCGGTGTCGGATGTGGGCTTCGTGGCTGCTGGCTCCGAGGGCGGACATCTCTCCATCATTGACCTGCGAGGGCCAAAGGTTATCTACCATGGCTCTGTCACGGAATGGTCAAAGGGAGAGAAGAGGGGTTTGTTCAAGCATTCGTCTAGCTCCAGTCACGGGGGCAAGCCAGAGTGGCCGACAGTCATCGAGTTTGGAGTCATGACGCTCGAAGGCGAGAACTATTCGAGTATCTGCTGCTTCGTGGGAACAAATACGGGGAGGGTGGCTACTTTCAAGTTGCTGCCTTCTGGCCAGGGGTATTCGGTACAGCTGGCCGGTGTTGCGAACATGGACGATAAGGTAGTGGCTATTTGTCCTATTGAGGTGCAGACGGGGCGGGAAGCCGGTGCTACGGGGCCTATTGTTGCTGGGTTGAGAGAGGGCAAACAGGTTGATGGTGTTTTGGTGGCTGGTATGTCCCCTCTCCCTTGTTCTCCATTTTCTTTCGTTTCTGTTCAATACTAACCCATGCCGCAACAGTCACCCAAACAGAATCCAAAATCTTCCGCCCACCTCACGCTCGCGGCGCCTCCAAATCTTTTGACTCCGGCATCCTCTGTGACGCCGCCGCCGTGACGCCCGCCGACACCTCCATGTCGTCTCACGGCTACGCCCTCGTTGCTGTCTTCAACGACCGAACCCTCCGTTCTTACACCCTCCCGGGACTGCGCGAGATCGCCAAGCATCCGTTGCCCATGCTCGACCCTCTACGCACCATATCAACCGTCATCTCCAAAACCGGTGACGTCCTCGGTTTCACCGGCCCTTCCGAAATCACCGTCCTCCCAGTCTGGGGAGGCAGTGGACGTGCTCTCGAAAACACCCTCGACACCATGATCAACATCGCCCAGGAACTCCCTCCCAGACCCACAATCTCCAACGTCCAATGGCTCTCCGGTACACAGTACATCTCCCCCACAGATCTCGACCTCCTCATCGGCGGCCCCGACCGACCTCCTTCCAAGAGAATGATGGCAGCCACAGACGCAGAACGTAATGGTGCCGGAGTCTACAACCCTGCCGCCGCCGGTGCTGCGGGGTCAAGTACCGCAAGGTTGCAGGGACAAGTGAAAGAAACTGAAGGGTGGGGTGATTACCTGACGCGCCAGCTGAACGAGCGTACCGAGAAGTTGAATATCATGGGTGATAGCATGGACAACTTGGCGAATACGACGAGTAAGTGGGCTGAGGATGTGGATGGGTTTGTCAAGAAGCAAAAGAGGGATTTGTTTTTGGGGGGGATCAAGAAGAGTTTCTTTTGAGCGTGTCATGTGGGTTGGGATTTTTGAGTGCTTTTAATTGGAGTTGGGAGTCAGCGCTTGGGATAGATAGACCTTGGTGGTCTGTCATTACTTTGGGCAGATCTTGGGTTGGTTTAAGTGAATGGCATCTTTGTTGTTTCTCTTCAGCCCTGCTTGCACGCAGGTGGGTCTGTGACAGTGTACTATCATGCTATTAGCATTTCGGGGTGGGAGCCCACCCATATCATGCATGGATTTCGAACTCAGGTGCGCATTTCTCTCCCTGTCTCTGTCCCTCCGTCTCTTGCGGGTTATTTACTCTAGTTCATGTCTTGGCTTTTTTACTCTTCTCCAGTCAGGAAAGATGACGGACCGATCACATCTATCGCAATCGAAACGAACGGAAGGAAATAAGTCAGAGGTCCAAATGAGTCCACACAAGGCACCATGACGCAAGAACACCTATCACAGCCGTCGGTCGCTGTTCACGAAGCCAGGCAGACGGAACGCCCAACGCAGCTCCTTTTTTTTTTTGTTTTTTTTTTTTTTTTTTTTCCGTCCTGGCTTCTGCATACGCCCTTGGGTCCCGTGGAATTGAGCAAGCCCCTCTCGCAGGCCCTTCTTGCAGGCCCTCGATGATAAATCCCGGATTTGACCATGCATACTGTATAAACTTCCGGGCGTTCATTTTCAATTTTCTGGGAATTCAAGCATACATGATCTGTACGCATCCTGCCACGTTCATGCCCACCAGAAATTGATTACCATTTTCCTCGGGCATGAATCGTTATTGTTGGCTTCAATCACTCCAGAATGTCAAGTGCGAACAACAAATCGATGTCTCGCAGGTGCGTACAGCCTGCCTCTCTACATATTTCCTGCACATCTAGAGGTACTGTACCATGGATGTCCGATAATAACTAATAGGTATTTACTGCCTACTGCACTTGGAAGGTGCAATGGGGCTTAAGGATTTTGGTGGGCTTTACTGTAGTAGTATTTAACCAGTGGTCACGGTGAGAAACCGTTAGTTAGCCTGATCAACCAACCTACTCTCTTCCATTCCACCCACCAACCTTGAGCAACGCTGAAAACCCCAGTTGCACACTCTTGACCGACCAATTTATTGTCTATTGACACCATCGCCACCGTCACCAACGCCTTCCTCATTGACCACTTGTGCTTCTGTCGGAGACAAAACATGTCATGTCATTCCGCTGCCGTATAAAAGAATTCCGGAATACCACATGTCCGTATTTCTATTTGGGATATAGACGGAGATATCAATCCTCGCCGTGACGAAGAGTACAGTTTAGAGCCCATAAAGCTTCCTCCATCCCACACCTTTCTCTGCTCTCCTTTTCTTCCATCATCACACACATCATCTCATACGACGCACAAAACACAACAATCATCACAAACACATTGAAGCAAAGTCCATTACCATGGCACCCATCACCATTTCCCGCGTCCTTTGTGGGCTGCTCCTCTTTTTGGGCACATTTGCCCTCCTCGCTGACACCACCAAGACTGGAAGTGGTCAGCTTTCCAAGGCCGAGAGTAAGACATAGCTATCTTCCGCCACCCCCAATCCATCTCCATCTGTTTCTCCGTCTTCTAACCAGGACAGACACCACGTTCTCATCAGCACGGAGACTCGCGGCTTCAGCAACGGCCACAGTCTCCGTAGCAACCCCGGCTTCTCTTGTGGTGAGAAGCACACGAACCACCACCGTCTCTACCACCGCCATCGCCACCACAACGGCCCTCGCCCGCGCAGAACCCACCCCGTCCAACGTCGTCATCGTCATCGACGTACCTACTGTCGCTCCCGGAGAATCCACCCCGGTCGTCGTCTTCGTCGCCCCAGCACCGACCACCGTCACCGCAAAACCCGCCCCCTCCCTCCTCCACGCCGCCCCTCTCCCCGACGACCCCTTTCCCCTCTTCCACAACGATGACAACAAGTTGCTCAAGTGCTACCCAATGGGCTGGTGGGACAAGCGCTGGAAGTTCATCGAGTCCATCGAAAACTTTTGCCACGCCATGGACCGCGAATCGTTGTCGTGGTCGTACGGGTCCGGGCCCGACGGCCACCCCAATGATGTTCCCCGCCGCATCCCACTGACGGGCTTCCGCCAGCATTCGTACAATTGGGAGGACCAGCTGCGATTGATAGTGAATTCGCACTACGAGATCTCGCTCGACGTCAAGCCGGGGTGCGAGTGGGAATTTGACGCGCACGAGTGTGGGCGGTACTTGAGGATTCCCGTGGACATGTGTGAGATGGGAACGGAAAACGAAAAGAAGGGCGGGGTGGTGCAAGCGCGGACGGGCTATGGGGACTTGGATGTGCATAAGAATGAGTGGACGGGGGCGTGGGAGAGTGTGTGGAAGGGGGATGAGGAGTTGAAGAAGCATGGGGAAGCGAGGTTGGGGGACTTGGAGAAGAAGGGGATGAGTAGGACGTGTTTGGTCTGGAGGATTGATTTGGAAACGAACCATATTGATGGTGCGGATCTGCTGGAGGGGTTCCCAGATGGGGTTGGCATCGACCCAGGTCCGAGTCATGACAATGACTGGGCTAAAGAGGGTAAAGGGGGTAAAGGGGGGAGGAAGTAAACGGATGGATTATACTTGTAGGTAGGAAAGGATACAGGGAAGGCAAGGGGGAATGAAAGGACCAATGATATTTGGGATGGGGGGAGGCAGGAAATGGATGGTGGTGACTGGAGGCGTTTGGACTTGAAAGTAGTACACGATGCAACTCACATGAATGAAGGAAAGACTGGATGCAGTCGGTGTTTTAAGCAGACGTATTTCAAGTATCGGTCCAATCCTAGATCGGGGAAGTCAGCTCGTCCCTTCCACACTTGACTTGGTCACTTCCCTACCTCTAATTACTGCCAGTATCATGATGTCTACTACATATACCCCTACACGCCCCACGAACTTTCCCCTGCCAAGACTGTCCTTCTTTCTTATCTGTCAGGGAAAGGGAAGACGGGGTGGGGGCAGGCTCAGATCGAGCTCGCTCCTCCTTTGTTCCAGAGATTGCGGAGCGAGCCGGATTGGCAGGAGCAGTCCCGTCACGGTCATGGTCAATGTTCTCCCGCGGTACTTTTCTGCAGATCAACCGACACTCCAACACAGCGAGGGCAGGCAGCCATCGTCTAGGTAGGTGCCCAGGTACTGCGGTGGGATTTCGGCATTTAAAGACCGACCTCTCCAAGACCTTTCTTCTTCTGCTTTTGTTTCTATTTATTCGTCATTCTGCCCCTGCTTGGGCTGCAGTGTTTTGTCCGATCCCAAATCCAGTGCCCCTAACCGACACACCATTCTACAAGAGGCTTTTCCCATTCTCCAGCCCAGCAATTCGATTCGACAACTCCAAACGTTACACGTCCACATTGGCCTCCGAGTTCCCGCTCATTATCGACGGCAAGATACACCCGACTATGTCATCCCATGTTTGCGCTCGCCACTTGCTCATCCCGGTCTCTCCCGGCTCTCAAGAGCCTACAACGGGTCATCTTCCGCTCGCACAATGATGGAGACAGCGTCAAGATTTCCATTCCTTTGGCCTCCGAGTTCCCGCTCAATATCGACGGCAAGATCCACCCGCCCATGTCATCCCATGTTTGCGCTCGCCACTTGCTCATCCCGGTCTCTCCCGGCTCTCAAGTTCCTACAAATTTGGAGACAGCGTCAAGATATCCATTCCTATCAAGAATATCCTTAACATTGAGGAAACTCCAATAGTAGAGTTTGCAGATACTTGCAAGATTCGCGTCATCGACAATGATGACACGTATGCCATTGAGGAGGTAAGACACTGGTGCATTGTGCCTCGTTGGTGCATCTGCTAAAAAAACACTAGTATTTCTTCTCCTTCTTCAGCTTTGGCAAGAAGGCCATCCAGGTTCTCTTGATTCCTCCGATTCCTCCACGAAACAAAGACATAACCAAGTCGCTCCGCCTGGCCCCACCTATAGATATTATCCGAACAGAACCTGACGAGACTCCTCTCATGAGCAGAATGCTCGAGGCACGAACCGAAATGGCAGCCCGGCCCAGTTTCGATCTTCATGACGATGTTCACCATGATGACGCCGGTGGAACTGGACAGCTTGCCAAAAAGCTAAAGGATATCTTCGAGTTTGACACGGCCGAAGAGGAAGAGTTCTTTGATGCGGTCGACGCCGGTACCGTCGAGGTTTCCCAGCTTCCCCCAAGGGATACGAGAACGGCATAAGGACAGAATAGTTGAGACCCTTGACATTATACCTCAGGTATACTCCCACTACGCATCCAAGCATCTTTGTTACACCTCTGATATTGAGTTCTAGGCAATTCCTGGATAGCAATACCCAAATAAGACTTTAGCCGACGTCTTTTCGAATTGTTGTAATCCCTATCACAGTCTTGCAAGGGCCTTTTTTGATCTTGACGAGCGGTAGCGGACTGATTTACTTGACCTGTTGGCTGGTCTCATCTATTTTGTCTCGGACGAGGCCGGTACCGTCGAGGTTTCCGGTAATGAGGGTATATAGGTAGTGGCGAATATGCAACAAGATATCTGATGTACCCTCCCTCCCAATGTTTCCCACATGCATCAAAGCAACCCCTTGTTTCTGTCCAAAAACTCATCCATCGTCGTCAACTTCCCTAACAGCCCCAACTCTCTCGCCGCATCAACACCATACGTTGTATCAAACTCATTCGCCCACCTCTGACTGATGGCAATCGGATACGTGTCAACCGCCGTCATCGCCTCCCCACCCACCTGTTGCTCTTCCGCATACAACACTTTGACCTCCTCACCCATCACCCTCGCCATCTTCTTCGCTAGTTCTCCCACCGTCACAGCCTCCACCGCCAAATCCACCCCCCTATTCCGATACTTCTTCCCATCCCCCTCGCACAAATCTTCCACAACAGCCCTCACCACAACCCCCACATCCTCTGCATCCACCCACGCCACCTTTGTCCCCTTCCTCCAACTTGTCCTGATGGTCTTGACCTCATCCGTCTCCCCAAACCCCAGATAACTCCACCCGCACATCCTCTGCGGCACCAAACAATGCAAGAACCAACCCGGCCTAATGATGGTCCAGCTCGCGAACCCGGCTTCTTTTACTCGCTTCTCAATCTCGCCTTTGGCCCGCCAGTAGCTACCCATAGGATACCACTCGCCGTTCTTGCCCCACCCTTTGAACTCGGAGCGGCGATCGGTTCCCAAGGCGGTGCTGACGATGAAGGAACGGACGGAGCCGCACTGCCGAGCGGCGGAGATGACGTTTTGCGCATAAGTCAAGTCGAGAGCAAAGTCGTCGGAGAGGATGGGCGGGAAGAAGACGGTGGTGGGGAGGAAGGCGGCGAATGCGGCAGAGAGAGTGGCGGGGGAGGAATAGTCGGCTACAAAGAGGGGGATTGGAGGAATTCCAGCGCCGGATTGTGAGGAGGAGGAGATGAGGGAGAGGGAGGCGGCCGAGGTGGGGTTACGGACGAGGGCGGCGAGGTGGAAGTTGGCGAGGTGCAGTTTGGAGGAGGAGAGGAGGGCGTGGACAGTGCCGCGGCCTTGGTTACCGGTTGCGCCGAGGATGAGGATTCGTTCTTGGGGTTGACTTTGGTGGATGGTGCCAGAGGAAGTTGCAGTAGGGAGTTCCAGCAGGTCGGGCGGCTCGATGGGGGAAGAGGGAGCCAGGAAGGGGGATGAGCCCATGGGCGAAGAAGAGGAGGAGGAGGAGGAGGAGGAGGAGGACGTCATAGTAGGCGATGAAGGGGGCTCGACTGTTGACGATGACCCTAAAGAGGCGGATGGGTTCTGGTAGAATGCCGGTGACTCTGAGGGCAGGTCCAAGGAGTCAGAGGAAGAATGCTCGGAGTGAGAAGACATGATGCTCGTTGTGGCTGTTGAGGATCGGAGGATCAAAGGTATGTTTTGCCTTAGCTCCTCTAGGTACCTGCAGGTCATGTATGTAGTCAAAAGCCTAAAAGCTCAGGAAAATCGATTGCTTGCTATCCTGGAGGTGTAGAGGTAAGTATACGACAGACAACCTAAGTTCTTCCATGCCATCTTTATAGCAACAACAATGCCGTATTCCTGCGATCCTTGATCCCCACCTGGTAGGTAAGGTAATGTTAGGTAGAATCAACATCGGCGATGCATCATCACACACTCACCACTCACCTCCACCTCCACCTCCGCCTCCACCTCCCGCCGCCTATGTGCCTTCCACGAACATGAACCCGTCGTCAGCCATCTAGCTCCGAATCGGCATTCGCAACCTCTTCCCAGTTTAGCGTGCTGATATCACATTCTTCAAAAGGTGAGGTGTGTGTGTGTGTGTGAGTGTGATGAAACCCATGGAAGGGGCCCATGCGTGCGGTGTAGTAAACAACCCTCGGACGGCCCCGTCGTCGCCCGTCGATCACTAACTACCTTACCGATCCATCCGCATGAAGATTCCCCACAAAAGCTTATGTACCTACCTACCTCCAAGGTACCTACCTCTAGACTTTAGGTACCTGTACCTTTACCTATACCTGTACCAGTACCTAAAAAGCAACACCACATCCATCCATCTCTCCTTTCTCTCTCAATCACCTTCTTTCTCCCAAAATAACATTTTGAAAGGGGAATCACTCGCACATGAGACATGAAATCACCTAGTCGCACCAGACGCACGCACGCACGTACACTCACACACTCGATGCCGTGATTGACACCCAAGCTACCTACATAGGTACCTAGGTAGGTGTATGGATCTCTTCAATCAGGTCCTCAGCAGGCAGACGTTGTAACATGCCTGCCTGGGAAATGGCGGGACACGCTGTACCTAGTAGTGCAGTTACCTTCTCACTGTGATTGCAACCCGATCCCAGGCCCCAGGTCCTATCGGCGACCTAACAGGCTGCGGCGACCTACCAGGCTGCGGCGACCTACCTGTACACGTACCTAGTGTAGTAGTGTAGGTATTCTACCCAGCGATGAGGATAACTCAAGTTTCCAAGCCAAGTTCAAGCAATCAAACAAATATAATCAATCAATTCGAGGTCCCCCATAGAGTTGACCAAGCAATTAAAGGTCATCAATTTGATTGACATTAATTGGCCGCCCGGCAGAATTCTAGGGTTAGAGTTAAAGCCCATACTTTTCTACCCCTAAAGATCGCTACCCTAACTCGGACCTACCCTATCTCGAAATTTTTAGTGTTTTGCTCTATCGTCAATTACTTGATCAATCAAGCAATCAATCAATTCAAGTTGGTTACTTGACCCACTCAATCAACTTTAAACCCTTATTTGATTGAACTTGAGTTATCCTCATCGCTGATTCTACCTACCTAGCGTATGTAGGACGTACATAGGTAGGTGCCTGCCAATTCTGCAACGGCAGTACATAGGTAGGTACCTACCACCTACCTATACCTAGTTCATGCCGATTGATACCTACCTACCTACATGGCCGTCTGTCTGTCTGTCAGGCTCTCGATCTACTTTGCATGACACCCTCACGGTCTCACCCTCACACCGGCCCCCTCCCGCCCGCGCCACCACCACCCACCCACCCGTCCGCCCGGCCCCCTCCACGTGCTTCCTCCTCCTTTTTTTCTTTCTTCTTCTTCTTCTTTTTGTTCTTCCTTGTTCCAAACTACCTAGCTAATTCGTTCCAATCATATCAGCTTCGGAGTCTTTCTGTGTCAACTACCATAAACTGACCTAACATGCTGGATACCTCGCTCGGGTTTACCAGTTCCATCATATGGATGTCTCTCGCCAGCCGGAACCTTCGCTGAGTTGGACATGATAGTACGTACATACATATTACCTACCCAAACCGGTACCGGCATAACCGCCGGCCTTGCTAGCTGCACGTGTTTACATTCGTCACGTTCTCCCCAGGTGACCCCGGGTGAAACATACCTTAGTTCGAGCCTAGGTAGGTAGGTAACTAAGGGAAGACGTCAATATTTTCTAGAGGACACCAAGGTACCTTACCTTACCTATGCCGTGGGGAACTCGGATTCATTTTAGCGTTTGGTTTACACTAGTAGGTAGTAGTTCAGACTAGGGTGTATGCATGGCCCCCTATACTCCATATCTGCTCGGACTCCTGGCCTATCGCATCACTTCAACTGCACTACAACCTAGTACCTAACTTCATGTTAAATCCGTCATGCCATCAATGTAACGGGCGGAGAGGAGAGCTTGAGAGCTAGGTAGGACTTGTGAACATGAAACTTGGGACTACACGAAGTGATAGGGAGAAAATGATAATCATTCATTTTGCATTCGCTGTCACATCAGCGACGCTGAATACCTAACGTGGACGAAACGCAGATATACTGGTAGTAAATGCCATTCCTGATTCTCTCAAAAAATCAGGGACTGTGAATGCTTTGAATCATCCCGACGAAAACAGAAACCATCACAAACTGACAATATCCGATCCCATGCCATGGAAGCCTATTCCCTTGCGAGAGCCTTATAGCTCATTTGCAAATCCTTAACGCCTAAAACAGATGGAAACCAGAAAAACTCATCGCTGGTGCCATGCCATGGCACAGACAACGATACCCAAACAAAAGACCAAAAACGCCATGGTATATATGCAATCACTCCCCCCCTTCCCTCTTCCAATCAACTCTCTTCGTCGCGCAAATGCCCCCCCATCCACTTTCCCCTTACTGAGCCTCACCCTCCACAGTCTCCGCAACCTGATCCCACCACACTCCATGCGCCCCTCTATCCACCTCCCCGACCCTCCCAAGCATCTCCACCAAATCCCTCACCTTATCCACAAACTCTGCTAGGCCCAAACCCGCCAGCTTCTCTCCAGCGGTACTAGTAGCCTTGACATTTTCCGAAGCCGACGCGCTAGCCGCCAGTCTTTGCAAGACATAGGCCCTCAACCTGCTCAGCAGCAGACGAAGGACGGGATCGCTAGGTTCACGGTTTTCGGCCGTGATGGAAGCGGCCGAGAGGACGAGCTTGGTGACAAAGGCACGTAGGTGAACCTTGGTAGCAGCGGGCATGGACCGGCCGGCTTCGAGAGCGGTGAGGATCCCGTCAACTGTTTGATCGGTAGGGACGGGGTCCGAGGATGATTCGCTCCGCTCGAGTACAGCCAAAATGCGCTGGGATTCAGTTCGCCAAGGCCCGCGGACGTCGCGCTTGAGCAGGTTTTTGCATTGGAGGAGGATGGCACCTGTGGTGATGATCCTCTTGGTAACGCGGCCCGCTTCCACG